TCCAGCTCTGGAGCCCTCAGCACAAGAAGGACATGGAAGTGTTGGAGCGGGTCCAGAGGAGGGCCACAAAAATGATCCGGGGGCTGGAGCACCTCTCCTATGAGGACAGGCTGAGGGAGTTGGGCTTGTTCAGTCTGGAGAAGAGAAGGCTGCGGGGAGACCTGATTGCGGCCTTTCAATACCTAAAGGGGGCCTATAGGAAAGATGGGGAAAATCTTTTTAGTAGGGCCAGCTGTGACAGGACAAGGGGAAATGGTTTTAAACTAAACCAGGGTAGGTTTAGACTAGACATAAGGAAGAAGTTCTTTCCAATGAGGGTGGTGAAACACTGGAACAGGTTGCCCAGAGAGGTAGTGGAGGCCCCATCCCTGGAAGCATTCAAGGCCAGGTTGGGCGGGGCTGTGAGCAACCTGATCTAGTTAGCAGTGTCCCTGCTCACTGCAGGGGGGTTGGATGAGATGACCTCTAGGGGTCCCTTCCAACCCAAAACATTCTATGATTCTAAGGTACCAGAAGCAGAAAACAGACTTGTCAAGAAAAATCATGTCACATCAAAATTCCCCCTTTGACAGGGCATATAGCCTCACAGAAAGGGAGAAGTAGTAGATGTCACAGACGCTGTAAGAATGCAGCACTGTCTCACAGCATTTGTCATAAAGAAGTCTTAAAAACCTTAAACTCTAGAACTACACCAAGCATTTCCCTAAGTGCTTGGTAAGCCTGACTTAATACTTACCAGTGATTCATTATCAGACTTAGGATACGAATCAAGTGGATTTCTGCAAGAGTCTATTTCAAACGCTATTTAAAAATGACAAGCTAAGAGAAGCCGTAAGGGTCACTGGCGTTGGCATTACAATTTAAAGCAACCTTGACAAAATGAAGTAGCGGTTTGGAGAAAGCAGGGTGCAATTCAATAAAGACAAATATGGAGTTCTGAACATACCAGAGAAATCATCAACTATACAACCAGTCTAACAGTGACTGGCTAGTAGGACAGCTTCAGGATAGAACCTGGGACATACAGTGAATTATACAATAAAGCACAGATCAACCTGTCACACCACTATAGAAAAGACAAGTATTTTCCTGGAAATATGTAACCAAGAGCACTATCTGGAAGTAAAATGAAGTAGCCTTCCACTCTACTCAGCAGTGGTCTCAGCTGGAGAACTTAGCCTACTTTTTGCATACTTCACAAAAAGAGCAACAAAAAAACAAAGAGCCCACAAAACAACATCTGAGGAAAGACTGAAGCAATCACAATCACTTCAGTCTACTGAAGAATTCTCTCACAGATACGATAATCTTAAAATATGGAAAAGATTGTCACAAATAGCAATGAATACACTCGCCACATTCTCTGTCCATAGGGTAAGGAGTAACGGGCGTAAGTCATAGCAAGAGATTTAAAATCACTTAAGTAGTAGCACAGGCTGCCTGGAGAAACTGGGGGGGGTCTCCATCCAGGCCGAGGCCTCCCAGATCCTGCAGGGCCCATTCTCACCCATGTTTGCCTCCGCTTTGCAAGGGAAAATGAGAGGGCTACTAAGACCCTGCAAAGAGCAATCAGAGTTTATTATAGTGATGATCTTTAAAAATGCATTAGACTAAATATTGATAACTACAAATTTTATATACACACAGATGCTTGTATACAAACTTTCAGAAGTTTGTCTTTCTGAAGTTAACCCACC